CCTTTTTCCATGGCCACATTTTGTAGAGGTAAACATTTTTAAACATTTCACAGTGTGGATTTTAAACAGTTGTTGTAGGGATTGGCTGAGTTCTTTTAACCCCCCTCAGATTCAGGGACAGAGGCTGCACAGATTTTTTCCATACATCTTATCTCTGAAATCAGCTTAATTCCTTGGGCAGGGATAGGGAAGAGCCCAAAAAATAGTACTTTAGGGCATGAGTTTCTACAAATAATTTGGATTTTTACAGCAGTGGTGACCCAGCCCAAAAAGGTGCCACTGGTTGTAGTAACTTTGAGCTGGGTTTATTCTATGAGTAAGTAAGAAGTTCTCCTCTCCCAGGACCCTGTGTTTTTACTTCTGTAAACTTGAACTCTCTCTGTCTGCTTGGTCAAGTTCCTGTGGGTGTTTCCCTCCTAAATATGGAGATTTAGGTTAGTAGTAGTAGTAGTTAATTCCTGATGGGGAAAACTCCAGAAAAAATACTTCTTCCTCCCTTTAGTATTGGCATGTTGAAGAGTTTTGCTCCAAGCTTTGAGATGGAAACAGCTAAATGGTCTTGCTTTATTTTTGTCACTCCAAAGTGTGTTTTTTCTTTCCCGTTTTTGCAATCATCTTTCAGCCTGTCCAACCAGGATGTTGCTTTCAATTTTCCTTACTGATCGTTTCAAATGGTTTTTGCCTCAAAGCCGTGGTGGTGAGCAGCCTAAAATTCAGAATTGTGTCAGTAATCTTTAAATTGAACTCTTAATTTGTTCTATTTTTCCTGACCCACCTCTGTTTAATGTGCTGCCAGCAGAAGATTCCCTGGGCGTGGTTCCTGGGTAGCTGTGGCTTTTCCACATTGAGATGAGCCCTTTTGGGATGAAGAACAACTTTGTGTTCCAGTATTTACTGTGCATGCCAGAAGGTACAAACCCAACGTGGGGAATGTGTTGCTCTGAGGGAAGAGCCTGGGATGAGCATTCCTTGGAAACTGGGAATTCCTGTCAGGATAACAACAGCCTGTGCTGCAGGGTTTGGTTATTTTACTGCAGGCATTGCAAAGCATCCCAGAAAGGATTGGGATGGAAGGGACCTTAAAGCCCATTCAGTGCCACCCCTGGCGTGGCAGGGACACCTTCCACTGTCCCAGGTGGCTCTAAAAACCTGGCCCTGGGCACTGCACAAGCAGGTTTTTAATGCATGAAGTGTATTTGCAGGCAACTTGTTAAGCTTCTTTTTGCATGACTTCTGCAAATTCGAATGCAATTAGCTTCTTCCTCCTGTTGCCTTATTAATTACTGTGATGGACCTAAAGTGATTTGGGACAGGATGTATCACAGAGGATTGTGCCCTCTTTTTAAACTCTTCATCAAGTCTTCAGCACATTTGGTCATTAATCTTGCAGGAAAACAGGGATGGCTTGGTGCCAGGCTTGCTCTGGAGAGGAAAGATGGCAATAACTGCTTTCTACTCTGAGTGACCCTCTGAAGGCAGAGACATCCACTCCAGTGCTGAGTAAATATTCATGGAAATCCTCCTCCTTCAGACAAACTAATTTAGAAGCAGTCCTGCTGCCTTAAAAATGTTGTAGGTTATTTTGTTTGTGCCTTGTTCCTATTAGAAACCTGAACCAGAAAGCACAGAAGAAATAAGAGCTAATGGAACAGCTGTATCTTGTTTAAAGCACTTCCTTGCCATGGCAGGAGTGTGATTTTTAACCATTTAAAATACTTTTTATTCTGTGTTACTGGGTAGATTCCTGTGTTCACACATGTGGGATAGCTGCTGCTTTGAAATAATGGTGATGATTAAGGAATGGCGTGGTTTGGAGAAGCATTTGTTATTAGAATAATTTATTATAAATTTTTATTTGAATAATTGGGAACTAGGAGTTAATTCATGTGTTTGTGGGCTGGTGACAAGGTGGGGATTGGGCACAGGCTGGACTTGATGGTCTTGGGAGAGCTTTTCCCACCTGGGGTTGGACATATGAATAAACACAATAGAAAAAAATCCTGTTTATTTGAAATGGCTTCTGTGAATTACAGGGAAAGAAAAGAATAATAATAATAATAATAAAATAATGTGGAAGTTGCTGAAAGCCTGGCATGTGTGAGTGTGTGGGACTGGCAAGCCACAGCAGTGCATGAATAATTTTTCTGAATTATTAAGAGTGATGAAGATTGTCTCACAGGGAACAATGGAGGAGCTCTGCTTTGTAGCTCTGACGTTGTATTTTTAGGACCAACTCATTTTCAAATGTGTCAAACTCTGCTTTTTTCCTACTCTATTCTAAAAGATGGATGGAATATTTCCTGCTGGAAAGGTTGGGAGCTCCCAGACTATGGAGGGTGGTTTAGTCTATGGTGGGAAGGGTGGAAGGAGATGATTTTTAAGGTTTTTTTCCAACCCAAAACAGTCTGGGGTTTTATGAAACACTATAATAAATAAGCAGCTGCCTTGCGAGGTGGTTTTGCCCTGTTTAAGGGCAGCTAGAGGTGCTTTTCTCACAGGCTTTGTAGTCCAAGCCTCATCTTAACCAATTATCCCTGCTAATAAAGCCTATTTTGCTCACATTCAAGCATGACTGAGTTATTATCCAGCCCTTTCCTTGTGGGTATTTAATTTCAGGATGCTCAGATGTGGCAGAGATGAAGCTGTGTTTCATTGACGGCCCAGCCAACGTGTTTTCCTTCATGGTGATGGATTTTGTGGGGTGGTTAAAAGAGTTTGGATGACCTGGAGGGGACTCTGAGCTTGCTGTGATGTTCCTGTGTTGAGGATAGAGACTGAATCAAGTGATTCAGATGTTCTCTTACGCATCTGAGATCATGTTATTATTAATATAATATTATTAAGCTTTGAATTTTCTAATTTTTTTCACATTGGGTCAGTTTTGCTGCTTCTCCCCTGACTAGAATCGTAAAGGTTGAAAAAAACCTTTATGCTCATTGAGCCCCACTGAGTTTTCCTGTTCCTTTGCTGTTGTTTGGACCAAATTTCCCAACTCCTCCTCAAATCCATTTCCATGTTCAATTCCAACAAGGAGAGCTTTGTTTTGTGCTGAGCATCTCTACATCCGGAGGGAAGTTTGACTTGGGCCAGGAATTCCCCATTGTCTTTTTGGGTCTTTTGATTTTTGCAGCAACTCCACTTGAAATCTTGACTTTGTCAGGGAGAAATGAGATAAATTTGGGAGCCTTGGAATGAAATAAAAGCCTGGAATTGGAATGCAGGTTGACAGGATGAACACAAAAGCTTTAATTAGGCTTTCTCTGGTGGCCAACTGGGCAACACCAATAAGGAGCTGGTTGTGAGGAGGATTTGACAGAGCAGACAGGAGCTGAATCAAGGCACAGCAGGGAAAGCATCCTCTGGCAAATGGAGGAAATGGGGTTGTGCAAGGCCTGGTCAGCCTGACAAATCCCCAGCTTTGCTGAAAGGAAGGTGTGCCCCAGGTGCAGCTTTACCTGGGGGTCCTTGTTTGCACACAGGGGTGGCTGTGAGGGCAGATTCCAGCTCTCAGGAATGGTTTTGTGGTGTCCTGAGCCCACCTTGTCCTTGGCAGCCTGGTCCTGTCCCCTCCTGCCCTTCAGCAGGGTCACTTCTGGTGGCCTCTGGCGTGTCCAGTGTTGAAATAACCTCCAAACTATCAAAGGAATAGAAAGAATCTTAAACATCACTGAGCTGGCAGTGTGGTGGGTGGAACCCTGAGATGCTGTAATCCTGTGCAAGGCTGGGCTGGTGTCAGATTGAGCTCTTTTTGGGCTTAGAGATGGTGTTTTAAAAAACTTTTATTCCGTTTTCAATCTTAGGAGAAGGGTGAGACAATACAGATGTTATAATTAACGTAATTACAATCAAAGCCAACTATTTCTTAATTACAATACATTATAAGTGTTTATAACTATAATACATTTTTCATAGCTCTATTTTCCAAAAGTATCTAGTCTTCTTTGCAAGGCCATCCTTTGAAACTTGCTTCTCGTTCCATTTCTCTCTCAATTATTTCTGTCCTGTTCCATGGCATTTCTAAGCCAGCATTTCTTAACTCAAAGTTTACACACAGATGCACACACTATGTGAGCCTTCAATCAGGCTTTGAGAATTCTCTACAAATCCATTTCCCACAGTTTTGGGTCTCCCCAATTCCCATTTAGGCTCTTTTTCAAGAAGACAGGACCCATTTAAAGCGTTTTTCTTTGAAAACCTTGTTTCATACTCATCTTTCCATCAGTTAAATCCCTCCTGGCTGCTCCAGGGTGAGGAGTGAAGGGTTGAGGAGCTGCTGTCCAGCCTGGACGTGTTTTAGAAGCTTCACTTTTGGTCTAGATCAGGATTCAACATTCCCAGTTGTCCACCTGCACAAGTGGGTTTGGGGATTTTGTGCCAAATGCCTCCTGTGGTGATTATAATATAAATACTCAGAGAATCTCCATGGAGTGTCACCCTTTGGTGTGCTCCAGTTTGTATAATTAATAGGAAATATAATAAACCAAGTAATAAATCTGTTAGCTTCTTGTTTGTGCTTCCTTTCAGTTTTGTGTATGGAAGATATTCCAAGAGCTGTGTTATTGTAGATGTGAAACTTGTCGCTAAAAGGGGATTTTGCAACTCCACAAAAATCTATTTTTATTGCAGTGCTGGATGTGTCTAAAGCTTATTTACAACAAATAATTGCATGTTCACATCTTTGTAATTTTTTTTGTGTTCTCTGCATGTTTTCAGGGAAAACACTGATTTTTAAAATAAATTTATTTATTCCTCAGGTCCAAGGAGCTAATAAAGGAAGCAATCCTTGACAATGACTTCATGAAGAACCTGGAATTGTCCCAGATCCAGGAGATTGTGGATTGTATGTACCCTGTGGAGTATGGCAAGGACAGCTGCATCATCAAGGAGGGAGATGTGGGTTCCCTGGTCTACGTCATGGAAGGTAGGGTTGGGAAAAATCTGATTTATTCCTTTTTATTTTTTTTTTAACACTTGGACACAAAACCTTTCGTGGGAAAAGCCGTTTCAGAGAAAGAGGTTGTCTAAATATGGTTGCTAAAAAATTGTGTGGAGTGCTTTTGGCTGGAAAATTCAGCCTGGATTTGTGTGCCTGCCTGGCTAAAGGAAGGAGGTGAAAGCTGTTAACCCTGCACTGGGATAAACCTCCCCTAAGCAGCGTTGCTGTGCTTGGGGGTGATGGTTTGCTGGAAAAATGAGGATTTTAATGAAGGAATGGAGATGGGAAGTGGCTGTGGAGCAGGGAGAAGGTGCTCACAGCCTCCTCCCCAGTGGAAATGTGGATATTCATGTTTTTAGCCATTTTTTGCATGAGTAAATGAGGATTTTAACAGAAGGAATGAAGATGGGAAGTGGCTGTGGAGCAGGGAGAAGGTGCCCACAGCCTCCTCCCAGGTGGAAATAGGGAATTTCAGTTTTTTAGCCATTTTTTGCATGAACACTTGAGGATTTGTAGCCATTTTTATGACATTCATGACATTTTTAGCCATTTTTTGCATGGACAAATGAGGATTTTAGCAGAAGGAATGGAGATGGGAAGTGGCTGTGGAGCAGAGAGAAGGTGCTCACAGCCTCCTCCCAGGTGGAAATTTGGGCATTCAATTTTTTTAGGAATGGAGATGGGAAGTGGGTCACAGCTTCCTTCCAGGTGGAAATGTGGACATTCCTTTTTTTTTTTTTTAGCCATTTTTTGCATGGAAAAATGAGGATTTTAACAGAAAGAATAGAGATGGGAAGTGGCTGTGGAACAGGGAGAAGGTGCTCACAGCCTCCTCCCAGGTGGAAATGTGGACACAGCATGGATAAATGAAGATTTTTTTTTAGCCATTTTTGCATAGATAAATGAGGAGCTTTTTTTAGCCATTTTTTGCATGGATAAATGAGGATTTTAGCAGAAGGAATGGAGATGGGAAGTGGCTGTGAAATAGGGAAAAGGTGCTCAAAGCCTCCTCCGAGGTGGAAATATGGGCATTGATTTTTTTTTAGCTATTATTTACATGGATAAATAAGGATTTTAACAGAAGGAATGGAGATGGGAAGTGGCTGTGGAGCAGGGAGAAGGTGGAAATGTTGGTACAGCACACAGGGCTCTCTACAGGAGAGACTAATTCTCATCCTTGGGAGGATGGAAAATGGTGTTGGTGCATCCTGGGCATCTGCTTGGTCCCAGGATGTGCTGGGGTTTCTCATTCAGCTTTGTAAAAATCTTCTAGCAGAATATTGCCAATGTTTTGTCTTTCCAAAATCCCAGCTCCTTGTGCTTGGTGCTGTTTGCTTCCCAGGTTGTCTTGCTCTCCACGTGTCAAACTGAGCATATTTTGTGTGTATTTGTGCTTTTTTATTGTTGAGGAAGTGCATGTCAGAGCTGTCAGAGTTACTGAGCTGAATCAAAGCTCGTGTGCATTCAGAGTGGCTGATCCTGAGTTCTCAGGGAAATATCCCTGTTTTCCTTGCTGCTGTGATTTGGCACCACAATAGATAAAAGCTTATCAAATTCTTCTTGCTCCTCACCACAACTCAAACATTTTGGCCAGATAACGCCTTTTCACTTGCTCATCTATATTTTAATATCTTCAATTGTTCTTTTAAACAAAAAATCTTTCCAAGGCAGTAAGCCATCCTTTAAACAAGCTTTCCTGCCAAATTCCTCATGCTGTATAGTTGCAAATACTCCTCACTGCTTTCCCAAAACAACTTGAAACTTCTGTCCTTTTAAGGTTAAGTCCTTTCTCAAGGCACAGGTTTAATTCCTCTGCTTTTTCATAGCTTTGAATTTTGCACATTGAAATTGTTTTTTCTGTGAGTTATGTGTTTCCATCCCCAGGCTTGAGGTTTGCATGGCAAGATTTGAGGTTTGCATGGTGAGATTTGAGGTTTGCATGGCAAGATTTAAAGATTTCAGTCCTCTGAATTCAGAGACTGCTTGGAGGTGGACAGTCTGTTTTGTTGATGATAAAAAACTGCTTTAAAATCATCCTTGAATGGTGTTTTCTTCCTAGTGGAAATGTGGAGGATTTGCCCTGTGCAGTTTTGTGTTCATTTCCCAAATTCCCCCCACACCAGAGGTTTGCTTATGGGGTTTTTGCTGCCTGGCTGATTTTGGGATGTTGTGTTCAATGCTGTTCCTTAAAAAAAAAAAAAACCCAAAGAACAGGACATGTTGGAATCTGGGTGTATTTATCTCCTGGTCAGCCTCTTCCCACTCCCTGGAGAGGATTTTGGGGGTGGTTTAGGGGCAGAACTGTTTCCAGCATGGTTTGGGGTATTGGTACTTCTTACTGCTCAGATCACCCTTTACTGCTGACAGATTTTATCATATTTATGGTCATTATTTAGCCTTGTAGTGATGAGTGTGCAAGAAATGTGTGTCAAAAGCAAATTTTGTGTTTTCTTGGCACTTGAGGTTTTCCATGTTCTCCTGGCAGCCCTGTGTGTGTGAGGGCACGACTCGGCTCTTCCCTTGGCTTTGTAACTTAATTTAAGAGTATTTAGATTGCTCCCTAAATATGCATAATGCCTTGCAAACCCAATTAGGGAGAGTTTATAGTCTGTGTTTGGACATAATGCAATGAGTGATGAAGTCATGGAAATGGGAGAGGACATTATCAAATAGGTTATGAGAGCTCATTTTGGTTCATCATTCTCTGTCCTCTCAATTATTAACACAATCAACCCAAATAAAAACTCTGTTATTTGCAAAACTCTGCTGGAGAGACCCATCTTTGAGTATTATGAGAGGTGTTTTCTCAAAAAATCAAATAAATTCTGTCCTCCTTCCATTGATTCCTTTTCCCTTCCTTACTTGGGGCTCTTGCTGTTCTTTGAGCTGGTAGTGACGAAAACCAGAGCTTTGAGTCAGGAGCTGAGGCTGAAATTTCTCAGCAAGCAGAATCCTGAATTTAGAGCTTCTTTGCGTTTAATCAGTCTAATAAACCTTTTTTGAAATTTATTTTTTAATATTTTTTTTGTGTTCTGAAGTGACTTTAGCCCCTGTGTCTTGCTGGCCAAATTCCCACCTCTAGGGATAGGAGGGCTCCTGGTTCAGGCTTTCAGGTGCTGGCCCCACCACATCCTATTCTTTAAAACAATATTTTTTGTTTTAAATACACAAATTTAAATAAACAAATTCTTTATTTCTCTGGCTTCACCCTCCCTGTGCTGTTCCTTCAGCCCTCTGAGAACACCCCTTGATTCCCCTTTTGTGCAGAAAGTAGCAAGAAACCCCCTCACCTTTTCCTTATTAACTGAAATGGGTCAAGACCTTGAGCAACACCAAAAAATTTTCCTTACAGCTGTGCTTTGAAGGTGGGAATAAATATATTTGTGATGTGACAAGTACCCATCAGGGGCTAAAATTGCTGGCAGCATTAAATATCCCTGCTGTGCCCACCTCCAGCAGGAATATTCCCCCAGGCTGTGAGACTGGGAATGAAAAAAGGGGCATCAGTGATGCTCTGCATTAAACTATCCGCATTGAAACTCTCAGCTCTGCAGAAAAAACAATTGTGAGAGGAAAATAAATTTATTTATTGGATAGATTACCTTTCCTGGGAGAAAGTTTGCTGCTCTGAGAGGGGTTCAACAGATTATTTGTCTTCAAATTGAGGGTTTTTAGAACGAAAAAAAGTTATTGTAAATTGACCATAAATGAGTGCTACCTCCATTTTTTTTTTTCTTTAAGGGAAAAAACCCTAAACATTTCCCTGGATGTGTTTAAAAAAAGACTGGATGTGGCACTTGGTGGTTAAATTGAGGTGTTGGGGCTGGGTTGGACTTGATGATCTTCAAGTTCTCTTGCAACCCAACCCAGAGATTCTGTGAATTTTCCAAGTGGTATTTTTGCAGGTTTGCAGCATTTGCTGACTTTGCAGCATTCCTAACATTTTGCTGAAAGCACTTAAGGAAAGCACAGGCTGAGGAGGTGTTTTCAGAGAGCTGCACCTCAGATCTGGGCAGTGCGTGGGTGCTGCCTCACACTGATGAGGATAAATGTGAAATCTCACCTCCGACCCCAAATGTTTCCTCTGGCTGAGCCACCCAGCTGCAGCCTGTCAGGTTGGATTAGGGCAGGAAGAAATATCCTGTGCAGAAATCAGGTGGCAAAGTCCAGGTTTGAGGCACTCCTGTGAATAAACAGATATTTTCACAACAATAAAATTTAGAATAGAATAGATTTATTTTTTTTTTAGGTTTTTTAGGAACTTTAGTCATAGGTGTGAAGAGTCCCCTCCCTTTAGGGTTGGTGCCATTCCCATGAAGCATGGAAGAAATAATTCAGTGACACAAAGGAAAGGGGAATTCCTTGGATTGACTCTTTTGTGGCTCATGGTTTTGTAGGCTGTCAGGTTGGATTAGGGCAGGAAGATCCTGTGGAGAAATCAGGTGGCAAGGTCCAGGTTTCAGGCTGTCCTGTGAATAATCAGCTATTTTCTTTTAGAAAAAAATTTAGGTTTTTTAGGTCTTTTTAGAAGTTTTAGTCACAGGTGTAAAGAGTCCTCCCTTTAGGGTTGGTGCCATTCCTGTGAAGCATGGAAGGAATAATTCAGAGACACAGGGGGAAAGGGGAATTCCTTGGATTATCTCTTTTGTGGCTCATGGTTTTGTATTGTCAGTGGGTGCTGCAAAAGAATTCTGAGGCTGCAGCTCTGCACACACCTGGAGAACCTGAGGGAAGAAAAATCCCCTGTGTGCCCCTGCTTCCACAGGCACGGAGAGGGAAGAAGCAGCTTTTTGAGAACCAGCTCCTGTTTTAGTAACATTCCCTCTCCTCTTACATTTCCTTTTATTTTTGCCTTCAGTTTTGTGGATTCGTCTTTTATTTTTAAAGGTGACTTTGCCTCTTGCTTCCTTCTTGGTAGCTCCCCCAAAGGAAGGATCTGACTGAGATTTCCCATGGGAATGTGGGTTTCTGGGAGTCTTGGGAAG